ACGTGGGGCTGTGATCTCAGAGCCGGGGAGGAGGGATCTGCTGCCTTCGCCCCCCCCTCCACCCTCACTTCGGTGCCAAAGTCCACATGTGACATGGCCACCGGTTTACCCCGGCACCCAGCACGTCCCGGCCTCGCCCACCCCTCTGACCGGCAACAAGCAGCCGGGGTGACCTCCCAGGAAGAAAATGCCCCTGGGTTTGGCTAGAGCAGCTGGCCAGGCAAGCCTTGTGGTTGCTCAAAATGCCCAGAAGTAAGAGCTTCCAGAACATCCTCGGCTGTAGTGTCAGGTGACACAGGTGGCCTTCCCTCTGAGCCTGTAAGGTCTGGCACCCACTCCCAGCGGCAGGTCACGAGATCTGCCTGCCTCAAAACCAAAGTCAGAAATGGGGCAGGTCATCGCCCGGCAGCTGGTCTGCCCAGAAAGGGTGGGCCCGTGGCGTTTGCTTACCGGAAGCTTCCGGGGCACTCACGGAGTGCCAGGTGCTGAGCTAAGTACACCCCTTGCACCTTCTCATTTAACCCCTAAACCACAACCCTAAGAAGCAGGTTCCATTGCAAGCCCCATTTTCCAGATGGGGAAACTGAGGCTTGAATCCGGCTCGTGACCAGCGAATGGCAAAACGGTACTCGAAGGCAGTTCCGCAAGACTCCGACCGCTTCTCATAATTACCCAGGAGTGGTTCCAAGGAGGCTGAGCCCCGGGAACTTAATGATACCCCGATTTTTTTTTTGAGACAGAGTCTCGCTTTGTTGCCCAGGCTAGAGTGAGTGCCATGGCATCAGCCTAGCTCACAGCAACCTCAAACTCCTGGGCTCAAGCGATCCTCCTGCCTCAGCCTCCCAAGTAGCTGGGACTACAGGCATTCGCCACCATGCCCGGCTAATTTTTTTTGTATATATATTTTTAGTTGGCCAATTAATTTCTTTCTATTTATAGTAGAGACGGGGTCTCGCTCTTGCTCAGGCTGGTTTCGAACTCCTGACCTCGAGCAATCCGCCCGCCTCGGCCTCCCAGAGAGCTAGGATTACAGGCGTGAGCCACCGCGCCCGGCCTGATACCCCGATTTTAAAGGGGGAGATGTTCTCTGACGTTGAAGACTGGTTTAGGGCCTCATCGTGGGCTTCCATCCTCGGAGATCGCCCCCCGTGTGACTAACTGCCCACTTCTCCGTAGCGTGAGGATCCTGTATTCAATGTCTGCATCTGCCGCCAGGCGGGTCACTGTGGGGAGCCTGAGGCTGGTCTCACCTATGCCCCCAGTCCTCCAGAGCCTGGGACACAGCAGGCTGTCAATAAACGTGTCGCCTAGACCCCGTCTCCACTCTCCACCCCAAATCCATAAACAGGATGATGCATTTGATGATGACGGAAAGAGCTCCGGCCATCAGCACCCACCGCAGTGGGTTTTTTTTTTCTTTCAATTCTTTTAACCACTGGAAAGCTTCCTTCTCTCTCTCTCTCTCTCTCTCTCTCTCTCTCTGTCTCTCTGCCAAATAACCATTATTATTCGGGGGCCAGACAGAAGAAGGGGTGCACACTGTAGATGACGTTTAAACGAGAGAGAGGACAATCGGGCATCCTCATTCCAAAGGTTGACCCATCCTCAGATGCTTCCAGAAACTGGCAACTGCCTGAGAGAAAAAGGATGGTGACTACAGTCGCCAGAGGTGGTGTTCCAGAAGTTTCTGCGGGAAGAGAAACACGGATGGGTAGTTTTCACCGAGCTGTTTCTGTCGCCTAAGACCAGGGGGGTCGCCTCTAAAGGCTCAGTCTGTTTTGTGCCCGGAAACCCCCGCTGGGCGCCCCCTGAGCCCCCCAGAGCCGCGGCAGCAGATGTCAACGTGGGCATCCGAAAGCCGGGGCCGTCCACCCACCTCCGCGACGGCGTGGTGCACGGTCGCTCACGCGGGGAAGCAGCCCAGGTGTCTCCGGACGGATGAGTGGACGGGCAGAACTCGGCCCGTCCCTGCGGCGGAATACGATTCAGCCTTAAGAAGGAAAGAATTTCTGACACAGCCTACCGCGTGGATGGCCCTTGAGGACATCGTGCTCTCTGAAATAAGCATGCCAGTTACAAGAGGGCACAGCCTGCGTGACCCCACTCACGTGAGGTCCCTGGAGGAGTCAGAGCTGCAGGGACAGGAAGTAGGGTGGCAGGTGCCGGGGGGCTGGGGAGGGGGCTGGGAGTGAGCGTCTCATGGGGACAGACAGACAGTCTCAGTTTGGGAAGACGAGGACGTTCTGGAGATGGAGGGCGGGCGGGGGCGGGGGGGGGGGTGGCCCAACCACGCGAGTGCACTTAAAAAAAAACAGTTAAGACGGCAAATTCTATGTTACGTGTGTTCCGCCACAGTGAAAGAAATCGAGGAGGAAAAATAAAGCCAGGGCTGAGCTTTCGGCAGACAGGGGCTGGCAGTTCACAAAACGATCACGTCTTGACGTCGTTACCAGGACACGGCGGGACACCTGGGGCCCCCACCACGCACGGGTGGCTGAGACGGAGAAGCCAGGTGCCAGGATCCCCAGTCGCCCTGGGGGGTGCCGGGCATGGCAACATGAGTGGCAGCGCCTGCCCCGGGTGACAAAGCTCCCAGTGCCAGCACAGCAAGCCCAGTTCCCAACAGCAAAAGATTTTGTTGTTTTTTTTTTTTTTCCTTTTAAATCCACTCAAAACGTCAGGGGACAGGAGCCTCGGCCGCAGATAAAGCCCTTCTGGATAGTTTGACCAAAACAGAGAGGGAAATAACTCCGCAGGGAAATGTCTTAAATTATATCTCAAGACGGGTGACCCTGGAGCATTTACAAACAAGCGCCTACATTTGAAGGACTCAGCCCTGGCGTCCCCAGCTAGAAGTAGCTCCTCTGTTTCTAAGCAAAGGGGACACTCCTCCCACCCCACCCCCACCCCCGAAAAACGTGCCTTGTGTGTGCGTGTGCGTGTCGCGTAGACTTAGCACAAAGCCCAGCTCTGTCTTTTATTAGCTGTGTGACCTTGGACAAGTTAAGTAACCTCTCTGGTCATAGTTGCGCTTCTCTTTGTCCCTGACCCACAAGGTTCTCAAGGTTTTTCCTCACTCTAGTAATAACTGCCCCTTCCCTTATGTCTCTTCACTAGCCCAGTGCCCCCATTCCTCGACTCTCTCACCTCCCATTCCTTACCATCCAAGCATCCAACCAAGCTCCATGGTTGCTCGGGGACTGCCTTGGAGCCTCCTCCCCAGGCGTCTGAGGGATTCCTCACAGACAATTCCAAGGTTTCTATTCAGGTCTCACTCATTCTACGTGGCTTCCCCATAGCTTTGGGCTTAGGTGAAAATATCCTCCTTTCTGCCCTCCCATATCTTTTGTGATACAACCCTTAAGCCACCCACTTACTCTCTACCGCCTCGATTTCACGTTCATTAATCCTTCCCAGGGAAATGTGTGAAAGAGGTCCATGAAACAATAAACAAGCAATGAGTATGTGTGCAGAATCGCCTTCTTGGATGTCAAAACATTATAAAACGATGGTGATCGGAACAGTTACTGGCCCTAGCGCAAGGAAACGCAGATACCCAGAAACAGACCCAAAAGCAATGGCGAAGGGATAGGTTCCTGCAATGAATGGCATTGAGGTCCCAACTAGTTATTGGAGAGAGAATTGGCACCTCTATTGAATCACACACACCAATAGATCTCGTGTTGAAGATGAAAGCTTTTAAGAAATTATTAACATAATAACTAAAATTAGAAAACTGGGGGAAATTTTTTTCTCTTATGGATAGAAAGAAACCTTCTAAGCATAAAGTACATCTGACACGCAAAAATCAAGCTCTGAACCCCATCAACGTTTTCAGCTTCTCTGGCAAAACACATCTTGGGGCATTTTCAACCTCTAAACAAACAAACAAACAAACAAACAAACAACAAATGCAATTGGCAAAGGTTTCATTGGCCTCCATGGATGAAAACCGCAGGCGGGTGACTTTTTCCAAACTCATTGACGCACTAAAAGATATACGAGCAAAGGCTATGGACAGGAAGATAAAACCCAAATGGTAAACAAACATGTTTTAAAAGGTTCAACCCTGACAGCAATCAAAGAAATGCAAATAGAACCAATGACGTCACGGCAGCTCCTTCCTGCCCCCCCCCCCACGGTAAATTATGAAAGACTTTTCAAACGACACTCAAAGCCGGCCAAGGTGTTCCCTTCTCCTCCAATGCTAGGAGGAGTGTCTGTTGGTACAACATTTCCGGAAAGCCATTTGGCAATCTATATCAAAAGCCTCTGACCCAGAAATTTCACTTCTGGAAAGCAGGCCTAAAGAAACAAACGCTAGCGAGAGCTTTGACTCCAAAACGTTCATCCGTCTCTCTGTGAACACTGAAAAGAAATCTCGATGCCCAGCAACAGGAAAAGTTAAAGAAATTAAGGCACAACAGATCTAGCAAATACCCACTAGAAGGAAGTACCCCCAATAAATTCAGCGGTGTGCATTGTGCAATAAGACAGACCTTTTGCTTCTTCTTCTTTTTTTTTTTTTTTTTTTTACGCATTTCTTTTTCCAAATCTGTATTAGGAGCAATTTGACTTCTATACTCAGATAAGAAATAAACTTGTGTTTTTTGTGTTTTTTTTGTTTTTTTTTTTAAACCAACTCCATACTCTTCTCCCAAGCAGAAAAAACATTCACTGTCTGGCACAGGAGGTGGTGAAGTGGGCAAAATCTGGCCCACCACTTGTTTTTGTAAATAAAGTTTTATTGAAACACAACCACATGCACATCTGTGGCTGCATGCCCGCTGCAACGGCAGAGCTGAGTAGCAATGACAGAGACCGTTTGGCCTGCAAAAAGTCTAAAGTATTTGGTACCTGAGTCTTTATAGAAAAAGTATGCCACCGCCTGGGCCGCAAGAGAATGCCACAAGTTTCTGTCCCCAAGCCCCTCCTGGACGGCCAAGCCGTTAGAACGAGGCATGAGAAACTGCTTAGAGAACCCCGTGCCCCCGGCGTACCTTTCTGGCAATGACTGTGAGTCCAGCACCGTTCCACGAACTGCCCGTTGATGACGGTGGCGGGGCAGTTGGTCTTGCCCTTGGCGGTCCCCGGGCAGATGTCCCCACACTCTTCGTTGTCATCTTTGTTCAGCACGATGTAATTATCCTCCACCGAGTCCAGGATACGGGACCAGTCGATGGTGGCCAGGTAGCAGAGCTCGTTGTTTTTCTCGATGCGCACGGACCCCCGGGTGATGTTCATGAGGCTGTACAGCCCGAGCTCCTTCAGGTGGACCATCTCGAAGATGACCAGCGCGTAGTTGAAGAAGAGGCGGGAGCCCCGGATGACCGTGAGGTTGGGGAACAGGCCCCTGAGGCTCTCCAACCCGTAGACCCGGAAGAGCAGCAAGTAATCGGTGATCATGATGAGTTTGGGGAAACTGAGGTCTCGGAAATCCTCGGGCCTCGTCTTGAACATCAAGAGTATCTGCAGGTGGCCCTCAATGACCGAGCAGTTCTCCAGCTCGTGCAGCCTGGTGAGGTTGTTCCGGATGTCCATGCCGGGGCACACTAGAAGGGGGAAGACGTGCAGAGCGGGACAAGTGAGTAGAAGGAAAAGGTGCACCCACGGGTGCATGAGAAGAGCCCAGGGCAGAGCCAAGTGCACGGGCATGCGACCCCGGCCCTGCATGTCCACCCTGC